TTTTAGGCAGGAAGCTGGAATCAGAGGCAGAGCCAGTACGCAAACCCAGGTGCACCGGGATAGGATGTGGGCGTCCCAGCTCCGGGCTCTCCTGCTGGGCCAAACACCTGCTCTTGCCAACTTCCTCAGTTTTTTCAGTGGCTTTATTGGGATGTCATCCACACGCCGTGACATCTGCCCGCTGAAAGGGTGCTCCGTGGGTGGTTGCATAACTGTGGGGCATGTGGCCATCACACAGTCGGTCACATGTTTTATCCCTCTTGGAGAAGTCGGCCGCAAGGCCTCCCCGTTCTCCTGCTAGGTCTCTCCACCCCAGCCCTCTGCAAGCCCTGGTCATCTCTGTGTCCCCGTGGATTTGCTTGCCGGATGTTTCATGGAAACAGATGCATCGTGTGTGGCCGGCAGGCTGGCCCTCTGCGCCCGCCCTCGTGTGCTGGGGGAATGCGTCCTTACCAGCGGTGGCTTCTGATTGGTGTTTCTCAGCGGACAGATGGCTATCTGTGGTCTTGCACAGCAGACTTCCTGTGACCCCAGGAAATGAGGCACCGTGGGGTAGCCAGACCAAAACCCCCCAAAACCAGAGCTGCACATTTTCCCCCGGACAGACCGAGTGCACAGGGTGGTTGTGCCTCTTGCAGGGTTTGTGACCTTGACTCCCTCCCTTCTGAGCCTTGATTTTCTCTTCTGTGAAATGGGGGCAGTGTGCCCCTCACAGGGCCACGGGAAGGGTTGAGTCAGGGCAGATTTGCGTGGGACGCAGGCCTGGGCCAGGGAGTGAGTCATTAAGGGTAATGTTTGGGAGATTCTGCAACTGTGCCATCCACAACCAGGCCGTATGCTAAAAAACGCTGTTATCTAATATAGATACAAATTGTATTTTAGAGCAAAACTGGAAAATGCGGATGAACCAGAAGCAAGCACAGGGGCCCGCATGGTGGCATCACCTACCGGAGCTCCAGGTCAAGTCCCAGCTGCCTGGCTTCTAACCCAGCTCCCTGCTAACGCGCCGGGGAAGGCAGCAGCGGCTGGCTCCAGTGCTTGGGCCCCTGCACCCGGTAGGAGACTTGGATGGAGCTCCTGGCTTCAGCCTGGCACGCTGTGGGCCAGTGGATGGAAGAGCGCGCGCTCGCTCTCTCTCTCTCTCACTCTATCCCTCTCTGTCTTTCAAATAAATAAACAAATCTTTAAGAAAAAAGAAAACAAAGTCTTTAATCCCAGTATGGAGTTGAGAGATAATTGCTATGATTATTTTAGAGACTATAATTCTAGGGTTTTAAACAATTACTTAGAGCGCATCTGTATGTAGTTGTGGATTTTCCCCGGCATGGCGTCTGCTCTTGAGTGAGCTGCCCTAAGCCAGCCTTACATTTCCGAGTCGGATGCACAACTCTGCCGCTTGGAAAGGCAGCACGCTCCTTTATCACAGACGAAGCGTGTCGTCAAGTGTTTACCTGTATGCTTCTGAGTGATGCTAGAGTGAGTACAATTGTAAGCTATTACAGTTTGAGCATTCCTAATCCAAAAATAGAAAGTACTCCAAAATATGAAACTTTTTGGGTACTGATGTGACACTGAGTGGAAACGTCTACACTGTACAACCTTGTTTTGTGCACAGAATTACTGAATTTTTTTTTTGACAGGCAGAGAGAGAGAGCAAGGTTTTTCTGTTGGTTCACCCCACAAATGGCCGCTACAGCCAGGGCGCTGTGCCAATCCAAAGCCAGGAGCCAGGTGCTTCCTCCTGGTCTCCCATGGGGTGCAGGGCCCAAGGACCTGGGCCATCCTCCACTGCACTCCCTGGCCACAGCAGAGAGCTGGCCTGGAAGAGGAGCGACCAGGACAGAATCCAGCGCCCCAACCGGAACTAGAACCCAGAGTACCAGCGCCACAGGTGGAGGATTAGCCTAGTGAGCCACATCACCAGCCAGAATTACTGAAAATATTATACAGAGTTACCTTCAGGCTGTGTGCATAGGGTGTGTGTGAAACACAATGGAACTTCATGTTTAGAGCTGGATCTTGTCAACCACGGGTCTCGGATACCCCCACGTCTGAGAAATCCCAGAATTTGAAAGCTGTCTGGGCTCGAGCACCCTGGAGCAGGGACACTCACCTTCTAAGGAAGGCGACGGCGAGCACACCTGCACAGTCGTGTTTTGGTTCCTGTCGGGTTCATCTTCTCGGGATAAGTCCCCGTGAGTAGCGTTCCGGCAGGTCTTCAGTCAGCTCCGTGCGGTGACGGGACCCAGGTGCAGGGCTTTCTGGGAACACACCTGCGCGACCCGTATCTGGCTCAAGAAACAGAGCGTGCCCAGCGCCTGGGAGACCCCGCACACCTCTTTCAAATCATGAGTACCCTCTTTGAAAAAATGTATTTGAAAGAGAGAGGGAGACACAGCAGAGAGTGGGCTCCCATCCGCTGGTTCCCTCCCCAAACGCCTGCCAGAGCTGGTGCTGGGCCAGGCCCCTGGCTCACTAGGCTAATCTTCCGCCTATGGCACCGGCACCCTGGGTTCTAGTCCCAGTTGGGGCGCCAGCCCAGGAGACCGGAACTCGGCGCAAGTCTTTGCACTTAATGGGGTAGAAACCCAACTGCTGGAGCCATCGCCACAGCCTCCCAGCGTGCGGGTTAGCAGGAAGCTGGGACTGGGACAGAGCCAGGACGTGAATACAGCACTCTGATGCGGGATCGGGGTGTCCCAAGTGACGTCTTACCTGCTGTGCCCACCCACGATGCCCCTCAAGGGCAGCCGCTGTCCTGACCTCAGACGCTGTAGATGAGTTTTGCTTGCTCATGAATTTTATGTGCAGTCGCGTCTGACTCCTTGTGTTCACGATCATGTTTCCATGTTCTTTCAAAATTTTCAATTTATTTTCAACTTAATTTGAAAGGCAGAGGGAGAGAGGGAGAGAGAAGCTTGCAATGGCCAGAGCTGGGCCAGACGGAAGCTGGGAGCCAGGACCTCCGTCCGGGTCTTCCCTGTGGGTGGCAGGAGCCCATGCACTGAGTCGTCACTCCTGGAGTGGCACTAGCAGGGAGCTGGAGTCGGGAGCGGGGCTGATACTTGGGCCCGAACATCCGCCCATGGGGGCCCCTTCGTTGCTGCCCACCAGTCCGCTCTTTGACCTTCCTGTGTGTTCGTGCTGTTTTGCCCCTGCCCGGCCCTGGGCTTTGCCGCTGGGGCCTGGAGCAGCGCCAGCCTTTGTGTGGACCCTGCACCTCCACACAGAGAGGCTGGGCCATCAGGTGGGCGGAGTCCCTGCTGGCACCTGGGGGGCATAAAGAGCCGAGTGTCCCTGCAGAGAGGTGGAAAGCTGCCTGTGTGTGTGTGTGCGTGCACCACGTGGCACCGGCCCCCTCCCGGGTCCTGAGGAACAGATGAGCTCATGCATGGCCCGTGCCCACGGCATATGGCAGCGCCCCGCCTGGGCTGGCAGCCCTCCTGCGCGTGTCCTAGCACACGGCAGCTGCCAGGAGTGCTTGCGGCTTCTGGATTCTGAGCGGTCGCTGCTTGAACCGGCATCAGCTCGAGCCTCAGGCTAAAAACGAGCAACCAAAACCAAAACCCCGAAACAGGGCAGGAGGTGGAGTGAGAGTGGGGCCCTGGGGAGAGGCACCCTGAGGGCTGCAGCAGGTGGCAGCTCCCCAGCCCAGCCACTGGTCAGAAGCTTTGCGCGTGCGATGCAGAGTCTGGGCCAGCCCTGAGGCCCAAACACCAGGCTGATGGGGCTGCGGCAGGCTTTAGAATCCAGTCCAGGCTCCAGGGCTTGGAGACGAGGGGAGAAGAAAACCTTACCCAGCCACCCCAGTGCCCCCTGTCCTGGTTTACCTGGGGTGCGCTCCTGGACTTGTGCTGGGGGCCAAGGCACACACAAGGGACCTGCTGAATGCCCACCGTGTGGTCCCAGCCCCTCTGCTGCAGCTTTCAGGACCCCCACGTGTCTCCCCACCCCGTTGGTGGTTTTGGAAGTAAGAAATGCATCCAACTGGCCTCTGCGGAGCGGTTTGTAAGATGAGCACAGGTGTGCGGGCGTAACTGCGGGCTGACCCTGGAGGTGGTGTTGGCAGAAAATGCACGGCCTCAGAGTGAGAACACGGATGATCAACACCACCCTGGGCTGAGGGTCCCGAAGACCACCAGGGAATGAGAAGGCATTGCCCACAGCACCAAACACCATGCGCCAAATCCTACTTTTCCTGCCGGTCTCATTTCTCCACCACGTCCTCAGTGCAGGCCTCCCAGCCTAACCCGTCTTCCCCTTTCATTCCTCGTCTGTCTGTGTTAAAGACTGATTGGTTTGAAAGGCAGAGTAACAGGGGGAGACCGAGATTTTCCATCCAGGGGTTCACTCCCCAAGTGCCTGCAATAGCTGGATCTCGGCCAGGCTGAAGCCAGGAGCCAGGAACTCCATCCAGGTCTCCCACGTGGGTGGCAGGAACCCAAACACTTGGGCCATCGTCTCTGCCTCCCGGGGGGCTGCATTAGCAGGGGCCTGTATCAGAGGCATGAAGCAGCCAGGACTGCAACCAGGCGCTCCCAGCAGGGATGCAGGTGTCCTCCCTAAGCAGCGCTGAACCCCGCCACCACAGCGCCCACCCCCATCCCTCTCTGAATTTGTGACTGAAGAGCCCTGTTCTCACTTGGAAAAGCTCATCTTGAGGATTGGGAGAGGGGGGAGTTGGACAAGCAGATGGAGGGTCCCTTTAGTAGGCTGGGGAGCCCTGCCTGGCCGTCTCGCCTGCCCACGAGCTGTCTCGGCAGCAGCCGAGAGGGAACTGGACTAATCGCCCCAGCCTGCGTCCCCAGGAAGAATGGGCTTGTCTGCCAAGGAGGTGTGGGTGTCCCGGTGGGCAGCCGGGCGGGGCTGGGCGGGAGGACACCTGCAGCCTTCTCTGTGCGCTCCAAGGTCAGCAGGCACTGATGGTTCTCTCTCTCTCTCTCTCTCTCTCTCTCTCTCTCTCTCTCTCTCTCTCGTTTTCCTCCCTCCCTCCCCCTCAGTCTCATCGGAGCAGATCGAGCAGCTGCACCGGCGATTTAAGCAGCTGAGCGGAGACCAGCCGACCATCCGGTAAGACCTGCGGCTGGGGTCGGCAGACACGGGGCTCGGTGGGGTGGGTGGGGTCTCTATTTCCCCTGAGTGCCGGGGGGGGGGGCTTGGAAGAGCCCCTGAGTTGCCCCGTTTGCTCAAGCAAACTGTGGTGGTTCTCTTCCTTCTAGTTCCTTCTGAACCAAGGTGTTCTGATGGGAAGGAAAGAGTCAAATCTGTATCTGTTGGCATCAGAAAATCGTAGCTGGAGTGGAGATGGGGGGTTGGTGCTGGGGGGAACTTATTCAGCCCCCCACCCCGCCCCACCTGGTGCTTCTGGATTTGTGCTGGGAATCCCAGGTGCGTATCCTGCACCTGCTGAAGGCCAGGACCGTGCCCACCACTGGGTGCGAAACGAGACTCGCTTGTGGGTTCAGCTGGATTCAGGGACTCAGGTGTTGTCCGGAGGCCCTCTGTCCCTTGTTTCTACCTCTTCCGGTTCCTCCAGCCTCAGGCAAGATGGGCAGGCGACAGCCTCAGGTTTCTGTTAAGAATCGACGTGCTATGCTGTGTTTCAAGCTGTGGTCTTTAGATGCCCCGCACGTTACCTTTGTGTGAGGAGGAACGTCTCACACTGTGTTCTGTCTTGGGTGGTAGCCGAGTTACTTGGAGCTTGGTTAGGGAGAGGCCCTTGGAGCGAGCTGCTAGTTGCAGTGGATGCTGCAAGCCGCACTGGAATAGGCAGCGGTCACCACCAGCCACACCGTGGCAGGCAGCTGTCCACCACCAGCCACACCGTGGCAGGCAGCTCTCCACCACCAGCTCTCCACCAGAAGCAGAGTCCCAGAGGAAACAGGGTCTCAAGGTTACAGCCGTTGCAGACTTGGAGCAGCCCAGGAAGAGGTCTTGGCTCTCGGTAAGCACACGTTTCACCTGCACTGTCCGGACCCCGATGTGTGAACACCTACACGCCCGTCCGTCTTAACAGAGCCCAAAGCATCCATCTGAGGAGCTCAGATTCTAAGTCTTGGGGTTTGCATGGCCTCTGATCTCGCTTTAATTATATCGGAGGCAAAATTAAAGACCACCAGGAATTATACCTTTGCTTTCACCTCTCTGACCCACTTTGCCCAGTGGAAGGTTACCTGGCTTCTCATGGGCTGGGCTGGGCTACATGCCCGGTGTGAGGAAATTGCTAGGGCCAGCGGCTGCAAATGCAGGTTGGTTCTTCCCGGGGCTGTGAGGGGAGAGGTCTGGGGTCAGACCCAACCTGGGCCGGGGGTGGGGGGAGCACTGTAGCTTCAAATTCTATGTGTGTTGAATTATTCGATCTTTTTAAAGATTTATTTATTCATTTGCATGGCAGAGTAAGACAGGAGGAGAGACAGATCTTTCATCTGCTGGTTTACTCCCCAGATGGGCACAATGACTGGGGTGTGGGCTGATCAGAAGCCAGCAGCCAGGAGCTTCTTCCAGGTCTCCCACGTGGGTGCTGTGGTCCAAGGATTTGGGTCATCTTCTACTGCTTTCCCAGGCCATAGCAGAGAGCTGGACTGGAAGTGGAGTAGCTGAGACTCAAACAGGCATCTGTATGGGATGCTGGTGTCATAAGAGGAGGCTTAACCTGCCACACCACAGCGCCGTCCCCAATTCTTCGGATTTGAGGTTGAGGGTGCAGAGACCAAAAAAACGCAGAGCCTGTGTAGAAATCCTTCTGCCTTTGGCTGTGTGGCTTCGGGCAGTCTCTCTCTTGGCTTCGGGGAGCCTGTCCCCCTCACCCAGAAAGCGAGTGTGGTCGCGTGGGGTTTGATTTGAGCGCTGAAGGTGAGCCGACGTTGTGGGGGACAGTTTAGCTCTGAGCTGGGCTCACGAATGGGGCTGTGGCTGTCCTGCCACGTGCAGGGAGGCCTGGGCAGTGGTTGTCCTGGGAGGAGGGTGCAGAGGGGCCTGGGGCTGTGTGAGGAGCGGCACGGGAGACCCTCACTTCGGGGTTCTGTCGTCAGAGCCCCCGACCATCTTGCCACTGTGCACCTTTGGAGGATGTGCTGAAAGGGGGTGCCCCAAACCCGTTCTTTGCAGCTGGAGGGCACACACGAATCACCCGGACATCTGGCCACAACGCAGGCTTTGTTTCCGCTGGTCTGGGGTGGGGCCTGAGCATCTGCATTTCCAACAAGTGCAGGCGGCCGTTCAGCACCGAGGACAGCGCACAGCAGGCCCTCCGTGGTTGGGCGGCTGGAGCGTGCCCAGGCTGTCCGTGCTGCAGGGGCCAGGTGCTGCCTCCCCGTCCTGCACACGCAGCCCTGGGGCCACCCCGTGCCGTGTCCTTGCCACAGCTGCCCTTGCGCACGCCCTGGCAGAGTCGAGAGGTCTCCGTGAGCAGCCCCTGCTCAGCAGCCCTCAGTGGCTCCCCAGGGTGTTCTTGGGCCCCCGCGAAGGTGTGCAGGTGCCGGCCTCTGCAGAGACCTCCGCGTAGGCCGCCTCCTCTCTGACCCCCTGAGCCCCTACAGCTGCCTCTGAGGGCTGCCCTATCCCACCCCTTCCAGCACAGAACTGTAACGCCGCCACCAGCACCCCGACTCCATCTGCAGCTTCTGGCCCTGTCAGTCCCCCGGGAGGCAGGAGCTGGGTCTGCTTCCCTGGCCCAAGTGCCGAGTCGGGAGCTTATTAAGACCGAAGGTGGCCTTGGAGTAGGTGAATGAACGAGAGAGCCGAGGAGCAAGTGGCAAATGACAGTAACAACGCAAGTGCTCTGTACTGTTCATCACAGCCACCCCCCTGCCCGCCGAGACCTGTTGTCAGTCGTGGTTCGTCCCTTGTGGGTTTTGTTTTCAGAGGAGAGTGGAGCTGGGGCCTGGCACCCAGGGACTGTGCGTGGGTGTCAGCTGTTCCCATTACTCTTGTTTTCCGGGCTCCGCAGAAGGAGCCGGTTGCATCCGTCTCACACAACCTCTTAGGAAGCGGTGCTGGGAACACCTGCTCTGCCCATTCTCCAGACGGGAAGGTAAGGCTCAGAGAGGCCCCTGTGTCCCTGGCCCTCGGTCGCCCAGCTCCTAAGTGGAGGAGCTGGGGTTTGAACCTGGCTCAGATGCTGCTGGAAGGAGGCTGTGGCCTTGGCCTGGACTTGAGAACGACCTCTGAGGACCTGAGTGGCTGAGGTCAGGGACCTGTAGTTCCATCACTGCAGAGCCAGCCTGCAGGCAGGAGGGGAGGGCCACAGCATCTGTCAGTCATACGCAAACAAGCCTGCAGGGACCGCTTTGCCTAGTCCCAGGCTACCCAGCAGGGCCGGAAGAAGGGGGACTGGGCAGCTCTTGTGGTCCCCTGGGCTTTCTGACTGCGTCCTCTGAGCAGCTCTGGGCTGGGATCCAGTGGCCAGCGCCTTCCCAACCCCCGCTCTGCCTGGCCTTGACTCAGAGTCCAGGCCAGGCCTTCAGCTTTCTCCAAGCCGGCACCTTGAGGGCGCTGCCCAGGACGTCCTGGGCTGAGCCAGGCAGGGTTCCTTTCTTTAGCATTTTGAGGCTTTTCGGGAGAGCTGCCCAGAGGGAGGCATGGCCTGGGGCTTCCCAGCCGAGGCCCCCGGGCACCCCCTGGCCCTCCGTGGTGGGTGTGGGGATGCGGCCCCTTCTGCCCCTGCCTCTTGGAAAGCACAGGGAGGGAGGGAGTGCTGAAAGCCGTCTTTGCAAAGTGCAGGCTTTTTCCAGAGACCCAGATTTGTAAGTTGCATTTCAAAGCCCGAAGAGTTCGGTTTCTAAATTCGCAGCGTCGATAAATCGAACACAGCTTCGAAACAGTCCCACGAGGGGAACAGCGGCCAGAATTGATTTTTCCCTTCAACCCGGCCTTTCCTGTCTCTCTCCAGTCTGCTCTCCATTCCAAAAACCACCAGGAGCCCCATCCAGGGGGCAGGGCAGCCCCGAGGCTGTGGCAGCCTTCTTCCGGGCCCTGCTTCTATGTGAATTCCTGGCAAGACCGGTGCCTGATTTCTAAAACTCCGTAATGCTGTGTTCCTCTTGTTAAAGAGCCCCTCCCCAAAGTGTACGCGCTTCAGGACGCCCCAAACCCAAATGCATCCTGACCACCGAGGGCCAGGGTCTGTGCCCACTTGGCAAAATGCCCGCATGGGAAAGTGCTTACCTACTGTGTGCATTAAGCACCCACTGTGAGCTCCCCTCGGATGAGTGCCTGTCCTTTGCGCCCGTTAGAAGGTCAGAACTGTAGACGGGAGAACACGGGGTGGCTTCCTGCACAGTTCGTTCTTATCGGGTGCAAGTCGTTGATAGCAACTGGGAGCTTCCCGAGGGCTCTCTGGCCGCCTCTCAGACCCCAGAATAGACGCCTGGGTCACTTCAGACACGGCGACGAAGCAGCCCGCGGGAGGCCGGGTTAGATAGCGCCAGTTGCGAGCGTATTTTTAGATCCGTCAAGCCATCGGATGCGGAGTGAGGCCCGACATGGATACTCCGTGGACACAGCCCCCGCCGTGTGTGGGGGCGGGACGAGGGCTCTGCATCCGCTGTGGAGAGCCGCGTGCTGACAGCCCGGGCGGCTGCAGAGCACCCGTCTCTGAGTCCGTCTGGCCTCCCAGCAGTGCCCTTGCCATTGCTTTTTGACCTTAGAGGCAGGAGGTCCAGCTGCCACGAGCTGAGTGGTGACCATGCCAGACACCTGGCTCACGGCTCCCTTGTGTGGTCCTGGGTTGCCCCGGTTACCCCCATTTTACAGATTGAGAAACTGAGTTTGAAGAGGCTGAATTGCACAGCACAGCCACGGCTCGCGTGCGGAGCTGGCTGGCGGCAGAGCTGGGGCCCTCTTGCTGGGTCCCCTGGGAACCCAGTGTCTCGCCTTGAACCTGTCCGAGAGCTGACGGTCGTGGGGGTCGTGGAGAGGCACCCACAATGGCGAGAGGGTGTCGTGTGCCACTGAGCTCACTGTGCTGCCAGTGCTCAGTCCCACGAGGCAGCCCCCAGTGCTCCCTGATTTGAAGCCCCAGCCAGGACGATGCACGGTGAGAAGTCAGAGAGCGAGCGAGTTCCCTTCCACTGGTTCCCTCCCCGCATTCTGCAAGGGCCAGGCCTAAGCCGGAACTCCATGCAGGTCTCCCACGTGGGCGGACGGCAGGAGGCGGTGACTCCAGGCTGGGGGCCTGCAGCCTGGCTGCTTTCTTGGCTTTGAGGTCGGTGGCTGGGGCAGCCCCGAGCCCAGACGCCACAGAGCGGACTTTGCGTTTGAACTGGGCTGCCTTAGAGGCTGCCGGAGACCACACCGGGAGCGTGACCTCGGTGTGGACTTGGCCTTGCCTTTCCCTTGTGGGCTGGGTGCTTGTCCTGTCCTCTTCCGGGGTCCCCGGTGGGGCCTCTTGGGCTGCGGGTGGCAGAAGGCAGATACCCCCCTGGAGCCCCCTCTCTTTAAAGTGACACTGCACAGCCCCGAGGAAGAGCACGGGGTGGTGGGAGCCAGGCTGGAGCCCCGTGCTGGCTGTGTGACATTGGCGTGGTCACCAACACGGGCACCTTGCGGTGCTCGGTGAGAGCTTGCCGGGACTCCTGGGCTGGGTCGGGCCACTTTGACTTGCTGTGATAAAAGACCCCAGCAGCCTCGCTGGAAGGAACAGAGGTTTGTCGTTGCTGCTGGTTCTGGAGAGCCACTGCCAAGGTCGAGTGGGCGTCTGTGGTTCAGCCTCTGGGGAAGGGGTGGGGTCTTGCTGGCGGAGTACCAAGGTGGCACAGGGTACCCTGGGTGGGAGCCAGGGAGCACGTGTGTCTGTGTCTCTCCATGTACACCCGCCGGGACTGTGCCTTAATGGCTTCATCCAATGCGGTCCCTTCCCCAAGACCCTGCCCCAGGCATCAGGACTGGGTGGCGCTTCTGTCCCCGTGGGGGCCAGGGAAGGAATCAAACCCAAACCACAGGGAAGGGACCCCCAGGGGTTCAAACTCCCTGGAGGAGGCGTGCGAGGTGTGTGCCTCGGTGGTCGCTGTGGGTGGCACCTGCCACCCCCCCCCCACACACACACACGCTCACTGGGCTGCAGTGTGAAGCAGACCTGTGCCTCCCCCCGCCCCCACCCCCCTGGCCCTCGGCAGAGCCAGTTCCGCCAGCCCGGTGAGTACCTGGGGACAGGAGAGGGAGTGGGAGCTTAGAGTGAAACCAGCTTTTATGGGACATTAAACTGTGGGGAAGTGGGGCTTGGCCTGCCCCAGCTCTGGGCCCTGCCCACGTCCTCCTTGTTGGAGAGGGAGGGTGGCAGGTGGCAGGGAGTGTCCCCGAGGACAGATAGCAACCGTCACTCCCATGGGCAGCTGCTCCCCCTCTCTGCCTCAGTCTGCTCATCTCTGTAATGGGCCTAAGGTCCTGCCTTCCAGGGTGGCCGTAAGCTCCAAACAGCACTGGGCACTGCCTGCCGCTACCCCTGGGGGAGGAGCTGATGACTTGGCAGACCACCCACTGAGCTGCTCTGGCTTGCCAGAGGGTGCATGGTGTTGGGTGCGTGGTGTTGGGTACCGGGCAAGGCTAAGGGGCTGCGCTGCCACAGCCTGAAGCAACCATCTGCAGAGCCCCCGCTGCTCTGTGGGCTCCAGGCTAAGCGTGTGCTAAGCATGTGCTAAGTGTGTGCTAAGCGTGCTCCAGACTTGACCTTCCATCAGTTGCACCCCCGTGCTGTGTGATTCCTGCTTCCAGAGGAGCAGGGTGGAGCCCTAGACTGATGGCCAAGGCTGTGCCCTTCGCCCACTGGCAGGTGTTAGCGTGCCCACTTCACAGGTGAGAAAACTGAGGCTGAAGAAGGTTCGCAGGAGCCAGGACGCCCAGCCCGACAGCCGGCGAGGGTCTGGGGTCTCCCAGACTGACCGGCTGCTTCCCTGCTCCTCAGTTCCCTTCTGCGGTATACGGGTGCCCTGTCCCCGCAGGCGCTGCTCAGCCGAGGCGAGTGGAGCAGTGTGGTGTCCGGGTAGGAGCCTGGTGCTGTGGGGACCTGTCGGTCACGTGCATGCCCTGGCTGGGCTGGGCTGGGCCTGTAGTATCCGGGACAGCAGGAGCACTCGTGGTGTCGCCTGGGAACTGGGGTCGCGCAGGCGGTGAGGGCAGGCATGGCCGTGGCTGCCATCCAGCCGTGACTTGGCCACCTCGGATCCTGTCCCCTGGGAACCTCGGCTCGGTCCCCTCCCGGGGCGCTGGGCTCTGCCTGTGGTTGCCTTGCGGGAGAAGGGGACAGGTGCCTTCCGGCATAGGGGTCTGACATGCGCAATGCACACACAACTCGGGACTTTGACGGATGGAACACCCGCAGGCCCCCGTGCCCGCTCCAGGCACTCCCTCAAGGTCGATCAGACATGGTCCTGACTTCAGCTCCACGGTTTGCATCGGCACGTGGTGTTGGTACAGTGGTTCTTTTTTTTAAAAAAAAATTATCCTTTTTTTTTTTTTTTTTTTTTTTTTAATTTGAAAGGCAGAGAGACCCTGTCTCCTTGTTCACTCTCCAGATGCCTACAAAGCTAGGGCTGGGCCAGGAAGAAGCCAGGAGCCCAGGCCTCACGTGGGCAGCAGGGACCCACCTACTTGAGCCATCGCCTGCTGCCTCCTAGGGTGTGCGCCAGCAGGAAGCCGGAGAGAAGCAGAGCTGGGACCCGAACCCGGGCCTCCAGTGTGGCAGGGGGCGCCCGAGCAGCGTCTCGACCGCTGTGCTGAACGCCTGCCCCGGCGCGGGGCTTCTTTTCTTATTGTTTTAGGCTTTAGGGAATTTTTTTTTTTTAAAAAAAGATCCATTTTATTTATGGGAAAGATGGAGTGACAGAGGCTGTGCATCTGCTGGGACACTCCCCAAATGACCACAAAGGTCGCAGCTGGGCAAGGCCAAAGCCAGGAGCCAGCCCAGAACTCCATGTGGGTCTCCCACGTGGGCGTCAGGGACCCAAGCACTTGAACCACCGCCCATCATTAGCTATAAGTGTTAGCAGGAAGTCAGCCGGGCACTCCGACACGGGGCACCTCAAGTGCTGTAGCAAACACCCACCTCCAAAGAGGTTTTGTTTTTTAAAGGCTTTGTTTTTTCAAAATAAAAGTCACATCTTGCCCATTACAATGTATAATTCAGTGACATTTAATAATGAATTAGGTTGCTAGAATCACATTTTTTAAATAAGATATATTTATTTATTTGAAAGGCAGAGCCAGAGAGAAAGAGGGGAGGTCTTCCATAGCTGATTCCCTTCCCAAATGGCTGCAACAGCTGGAGCTGGGCCAATCCGAAGCCAGGAGCTTCTTCTAGGTCTCCCACGCAGGTGCAGGGGCCCAAGGACTTTTGCATCTTCTACTGCTTTCCCAGGCCATAGCAGAGAGGTGGATGGGAAGTGGAGCAGCCAGAACACGAACCGACACCCATATGGGATGCTGGCACTGCAGGCAGTGCCTTTACCTGCTATGCCTCAGTGCCAGCCCCACAATTTTTTAATGTGTTTTTTATTAGTTGAGAAGCAAAGAGACAGACATACAGAGAATGCCTGTCTCTGGTTCATTCCTCAAATGCCCTCGGTGGTCAGGGCTGGGCCGGGCTGAAGCTGACAGTGGGTGCTCCATCCAGGAGTCCCACGTGTGTGGCAGGGACCCAGCTGCTTTTACTGCTGCCTCTCGGGGTCTGCATTAGGAAGCTGGAACCACAGGCTGGAGCTGGGTCTGGAACCCGGGTCTTCTGGCATGCGGCGTGGCCGTCGCCCAGACTGCCCGGCCCCGCCCTCAGTTTCAGAGCGTCCTTCACGACCCCCGAGGGACACTGTCCCTGCCCACGTCCCTTCCCAGCCCTCGGCTACTGCTCTTCTCCTGTTTCTCTGGATTTTCTCGTCCTGGACGTTTCCTGTAGACAGAACCCTACAACACGTGTCCTTCCGTGCCTGGCTCCTGTCACCTAGCGTCGTGGTTTCAGGGTCGGTCCACGCTGCAGTGGGTGTCAGGGTGTCGCTCCTTTAGGTGGCTGAATAGCCCGGCACACGGGGAGGCTGCAGGCATCAGGTGACAAACAAGGCTGTCGTGACGCCTTTGGGATTCAACAGTCTCAGCACACACCTGCGGGTGGCGTCGCACCTGCTGGTCGCTGCCCGTGCAGATCCAGAGCAGCCAGAGCGGGGGCCGTGGGCTGGGGCCTGAGGGTGGGCGTCGGGCGGTCTGGGACCGCTTACAATGGGTGCCCATCCCAGGGCTCTGCCTTTGGAGGTGAACGCTTGATACGAGGGCACTTGCGAAGTTCGCGGAGGATGGAGGGAAGAGGCGAGTTCGCTTTGACGCAGAGGATCTGACCCCTGCTCCGTGTTTGCGCTGTGAGCGTTTTGACGGCCCTGCACCTGCATGGATTTCCGAAACGTTTTGCAGCGACGTGAGCCGGTCGTGTAATTCTCTTCCCAACGGCTGCCTGAAGCCCCGTGGCACAGCTCGCCCGGCCCGGCCGGCTCCTGCCCAGGCTCTGGAGGAGAGGCGGGGTCCCAGTCCCACCCCCTCCCCCTGGACTGTCCCGGGGCCCCGCTCCCTGCCACACACACCCGCTGACACCATGTTCTTTTTGTCGCTCTTTTTCCCCGGTGCCTTCCCCACTTGGGAGCCAGCAAGGAGAACTTCAACAGTGTCCCCGACCTGGAGCTCAACCCCATCCGCTCCAAGATCATCCGTGCCTTCTTCGACAACAGGTGGGTGGGCTCTGGCCTGCAGGGGCCCCAAGGTGGGGGACTGTGTCCTTGGAGCGCCGTGGGTGCAGGACTTGGTGCTCAGAGCGCCCCTTTCAGTGGGGTTGTGAGCAGAGGCTGGGGCGGGGGGAGGCGGTTGTGAGTTCCCAGCTGGGGGACTGGGGGCTGCCAGTTCCATCTCCCTAGGTTTCCGTGTGCATCACCTCTGGCCGCAGGACAAAGGCCCCGTTAGCTCCCCTTTCTGTAGCTCAGCAATCAGCTGGGGTCTCGGCTCGGGGGTTTTCATAGAGCTGTCCGCTGAGGCCGGGCTCTCGCTTCAGGGCTCACCTGGGGCCCAGGGGGTCTCTGCTTCCGGGGTCTCTGCTTCCAGGGTCGCTGTCGTGCAGCCCGAGGCGACTCCAAGCCTTTGCAACAGGTGGCTTCCTCCAGAGAGGGTGTCCAGGTGGGGAGGGTTGCGCCTGCCCAAGGCTACCTGAGAGGCGGGCAGACAGGACACTCAGCTGCTGGTTCACTGGCCCAGTGCCTGCAGCCGCCTGGGCTAAAGCAGCCTGGAGCTCCATCCAGAGCTCCCACGTGGGGTGCAGGGGTGCTGCTGCCTCCTCCGGGTGTGTGTGTGTGTGAGCAGGGGGCCGGAATTGGCAGCACAGCTGAGACTTGACCTTGGGCACTCCAGCACAGGGCCTGGACGTCCCAGCTGGCGTCTTAATCACTGTGCCAAACCCCACCCCCCCCGCCCCTGGTTTCTGCATGTAACCCAGTGTCAGAAGTGACACCCCACCCACAACCTGAGATCACAGCTCCTGCCTCCGGGGCTCTGAAGTGCTGTGTGCTGAGGTGCTGTGCCCATGGCCCTGGCTTGCAGAGAGCCTGGTGCAGACCACAGCTCAGCCCCCAAGCATCCGCTGGCCTTTAGGTTGCAGAACTTGGTGATCCCGGGGTGGGAGTGCGCCTGGTGTTTGTGACTTTGCGGAAGGGGTTGTGTGGGCAAAGCACTGGGGTAGTACATACAGTTGTCCAAACACATTTTACTGTGTGTGCTAATTTCTTAAAAAAACAAACAAACAAACAAACAAAAAAAAACAACTGACCCAAGTCCCTGTGGTCTCAGCCATCACCATTGTGGGGCTGGGATCCGCCCGGCTCAGAACGGATCCAGGAGTTGTGTCCTTAGCTCTGTGTCCCTGGCTGTAGTCTGAGGGGAGGACGGGCAGGGGACTGGGCTGGCACCTCCCTCTGGCGAGAGGGCTTTGGGCGGGGCAGTGGCTGAGTCCCCTTTCTGGGAGGGTCTGAGGCCAGGCAGGGCGGCTGCAGGGCGCACAGGAGGGAGCAGGGGACAGAGGTGCTTCTAGGAATGCCCAGTGTCCACAGGCAGGCGTGCAAACGCAAGGCCGGAGCAAGGTGGACTCCAGGTGGGATAGGGCGGGGCGGAGGAGCCAGGGCTGGACGGCAGTCGGGCGGGAGAGCAGGTGGGGACCGGAGATTACCCAGAGAGCCAGGAGCCTCGGAATTCGCTCTGATTTGCATTTTGCAAAGCTCATCCTGGCTGCGGGTGGAGGGCGAGGGCTGGCGGGGGTGGGGGGCAGGAAGGACCGGAGGGATGGGCTGAGTGAGGGAGTGGCAGGGACTCCTGGCTTGGCCTGAGAGTGGCTCACGCTTCATGGAGCGAGCATAGGCAGGCGTCCAAGGACCTCTCGGGACCAGGTTGGGGTGGCCACAGCCTCACCCACCCACCCTTAGACTCTGGAGAGACCTCGTACTGCTAAGGGGCGACACCTATAACTCCCAGTGAGGGCGGATTTCACAGGAGGAGCCGGACGTGGGATTTTCCAGCCTCAACCTTCATTCCCAGAACTCTGTAGGAATGGGGCAGGAACTGGAGCAGCCGCCTCCGGCCGCTCCCTTCCTTACAGGGTAATCAGAAAGTTGAGGAAGCAAAAATATTGCTCTAAAACTGACATATTTGTAAAATAAAGAGAGCTGCCTGGTTCTAGGCTGGGCTCAAATTTGGACACAGCTCTGGCTTCTGCCCCTAGTCCTGGATGCCCATTTCAGGTGTGGGAGTGGAGAGCAGGCGAGGCTGGCTCCAGGCTCTTTGTTTGCATTTCCTGGGCTCTGGGCTCTCCTGGGCTTTGTGGACCCTGGTCTCAGCCTTTGCAGACTCCCAGGGAGGTTCCTCCCAGAAGTGGGTCCCAGCCTGCCCTGAGAAGGACCCGGAGCCTGTCACGTGGTCCCTGGACTAATCTCTGTCTCTCTCGCTGCAGCCGGAACTGCCCAGGAAGGGCATGGGCTCCAGGGAAGCCCGCCGACAGCCACAACTCGGACACGGTTAAAACGTGTTGGGAAGAGCCGACCCCTCAGACCCCGGGCGAGCTCAGGGGAGACAGGCAAACAAGCCTGGGAGGGTTCTCCTCTCCCTGCTCCGGCCATGGGTTTCACGGCTTTCTAGAAAATTCTCGGGCATAGAGAAATCGGCGGTGAAGCGCAGTGGACTCGTTGGGGGCTGTCAGTGTTCATGGGGTGCTGGAAGATGGCAGAGGCATGTCTTTAAACTTGGCCTTAAACCCTGGGTCAGGCGCAAGTAGATGGTCTGGGCGCAGGGGTCCCGGGGCCGGCTGGAGAACTGTGCTGTGTTCAGGACTCCGCCAGCCCTGTGACCGTTGGGCTGCGGTTCCAGGAGTGATAAGGCCTGGCCCTGGTGTGGGGGAGCTTGCATTTGGGGTTATCTTTAAGCCGTTTTGTTTTATAGGCAGCTGTTCCTCTCTGCCAGGCTGGGAGCGGGGTGGTTTGTGAATTTCCACGCCCCGACTGCACGCCAGGCACCGGCCCAGGCACCAGGCAGCCCTAGCGCTGCATCCTGAGCCCCGGGCGCCCCTGCCCTCTGTCGTGGGGCTCCCAGCCCGGGCTTGCTGTGCCCTGCAGCAGTAGCCAGGCGACTCAGAACTGCTGGCTCTGTGCTGATAGAGCGGGGACGGGAGAGACAGGGCTGTGGGCTCTGCAGGGCCCTGGGCGCTGCTGTGGGTGCTCAGGGGGCGGGGCGGGAAGTGGCTGTGGCTGGGTCCCACAGAGCCCTGTCTCTGGGTCTGAAACTTGATCCTCACACAGTCTCCTTGCTGCAAACTCTGCTTCAGTTTTTTTTTTTTTAAACCTTTTCAATATGCAAAGTGTGAAACCCTCCTTGGCTCATGGGCTGCAGAGTAGGCGACAGGCCCCTTGTGGTCCCTGGTTCACCCACCCCCTGAGCTCACGGAAGGATCAGGAGGTGTGGCCTGCTCGTGCCTCAGTTTCCCCACATGTCAGTGCCCACCTGTGTGCCCTGTAACGCCCAGCCCTCCGCAGCCATGTGGGGCTGGACTTGACACCCCCAGGGGTTCCCGGGACCCCATGGAGCAGGTGCTTGGGGAGCAGAGCCCGTGCCCAGGACGGCTGGGTTCTCGGGCACTGCTGCTCGGGGGAGGGCGGGATCTGGGTCCTAGCTGACACCGCCTCCTCCCCCCATCTCGCCGCTGCAGGAACCTGCGTAAGGGGCCCAGCGGCCTGGCCGACGAGATCAACTTCGAGGATTTCCTGACCATCATGTCCTACTTCCGGCCCATCGACACCACCCTGGGCGAGGAGCAGGTGGAACTGTCCCGGAAGGAGAAGCTGAGATGTGCGTGCCCTCCCCGCCCCCACCCCAAGGCCTCAGAGCGCAGGGTGCACAGGAAGGGGAGGGGGCAGGGAGACTGCTGGCATCCTTTGGCCATCCGTCCCCAGGAGGGTGGCTGAGGTGCACACCAGCCCAGTGCTTCCCCATCAGTGTCCAAGCAGCTTTGGGCTTCCTGGGATGAGTGAGGGGCTGTGGGGTGATGGGTTCACACAGACCTGGGTGCTAGCTGGCCCCTCGGCCAAGTGGCCCCATGACTCTACTTTTTTTTTTTTTTTTAATTTTACTTATTGGGATGGCACAATGACAGGGAGAGAGAGACATCTTCCATCCACTGGCTCAAGCCCCAAATTACCACAACAGCTCAGGCTGGACTAGGCAGAAGCTGGGAGCCTGGAGCTCCATCCGGGTCTCCCACGTGGGTGCAGGGGCCCAGGCACCTGGGTCATCTTCAGCTGCTTTCTTGGCGCATCAGCTGAGAGCTGGATTGGAAGTGGAGCAGCCGGGACTTGAACCGGTGTCCATGTGGGATGCCGGCATCACGGGTGACGATGTACCCACTGACCTCGAGCCAGAACACAGGCGAGCTGATTCCAAACCCTCGAGTGGTTCTGAGATGGCACAGGCAGAGCCCCCGGTGCCTGGTGGTGGCCCCTGAAGTGAGCCCCTTCCCCACCTCTGTGGACTGTGCTAGGGCCAGCATTGGTTCTGGAGGGAACCCTCGCTGTTCCTGGGGTGGCTGTGGCCCAGGCCGGCCCTCGGTGGAGCACGTCACGGCTGCTTTTCCCCGTGGACTCTGGCCGGCTGCAGCCTGGGCTGGGCCGCTCGCCGTCGGGATCTTTAGTTCCGGGGCATGTCCGTGGGGGCATCCCCAGGGCCGCTGTGTCACTGCGGATGTCTGCTCCAGGGCGGGGTAGGGGGCACGGGCCCAGGAAGTAGAGGGACTCGGTCAGGTCCAGACCCCTGGTTTCCTGCCCTTAGCAGGGTGCTGGAGTGGTGATGACCGGAAGAGACCCAGTGGGTGCTTGGTAGATCCCAGCTCTGGGGTCTCTCCCGGGGCTGAGCTGAGATGGGCGGTGGATTGGGGGAGGTCACCTCCCTCCAGTTCCTCGTGTGTGCTGGGCCGTGGGCTGCCGCCACGGCCACGGCCACGGCCACCACCACCACCGTGATGCTGGAGGAGAGGCTGCTGCCGCTGGCTGCGCTCGGCGGGGCGGGGGGGGGGGGGGGTCAGCCGGGACCCTGGTCAGTCCCCAGGCCAGAGTGGCTGCAGGCCTGTGGAGAGCAAGGCTGTGACCTGACACCCGTTCTGCTGGTGTTGCCATGGTGCTGGCCGCCCCCACAGGGTGCCAGGCTGGTCCTCTGGGCTCTCACTCCCAGATGCCATTGTTCCCGTTTTACAGCTGGGGAAACTGAGGCCCAGAGAGGTCCATCTGGCCCCACAGCCTATGCCCTTGACCCTTGCAGCTTTGGCACTGAGGTCTCTTACTGATGTCCCGGGCTGAGTGGTGGTGACCTGGGGGGGGGGGGCAGGCTCCTCCCCGCGCTGAGCCGCGCCCTCGCCCTTGCCCCCCCCAGTCCTCTTCCACATGTACGACTCGGACAGCGACGGCCGCATCACGCTGGAGGAATATCGAAATGTAAAGTATGCTTCTGCCCCCGCCCGCACTCCTGCCGCCGCCCCGGCCCGCCACCCGGACTCGGGCCCCTGGGCGCCGGCTCATGGAGTCTCTGCCCTGCCTGGCAGGTGGTGGAGGAGCTGCTGTCGGGGAACCCCCACATCGAGAAGGAGTCTGCGCGCTCCATCGCCGACGGGGCCATGATGGAGGCGGCCAGCGTGTGCGTGGGGCAGATGGTGAGTGCCTGGGGCGGGGACTTCACACCTGCAGCCTGTGGCCCGCGGCCGTGCGCGCGCACTCAGCCTTCGCTGCTGTTGCTGCCACCTGCGCCCTGCGTACCCCTCTGCCTGGGGCTGGGCCCAAAGCACAGCCCCGAACCTCTCCTGCTTTCCCCGCCCACCATGAGCTGTGCAGCGTGGGGAGGTGGGGTTCGAGGCCTCCTGGGACTGGCCAGCCCACCCCCAGCCCCGCCTGTTCAGCAGACAGCACGAGGCCCAGGAATTGATTTCTCTCCTCTTGAGTGACTCAAGGCGGTTTCTGGCCTCAAGGCAAGGGTCCGGGGGGGGGGGGGGTTGTGCTGGGCTGACCCCCGGGTCTGGGGCAGGCAGAGGAGCCAGTGGGGCCGGGTGTAAGTGAAGTGCCCAGTTGAAGGGTTCGTGTTCCGCTTGATTTCACTGGTGGGGAAGCTGAAGCTCGCAGCACAGAAGGGACCCTTTCTGTGCTGGGCAGGGCCCCTCTCCTAGGGCCGAGTGCAGCCCCCAGCCCCCCCTGAGGACCGCTCCGGTGGACGTGGTGCCTGAGGGCTTTGGTCGGCTCCACGATGGGCTCAGCTGTGTAGGGACACCTGGCTCACCCCGTGCCCTGCAGCCTTGACCGCATGGCTGTCCCCAGGCTGCTGAGCCCAGGCTGGTTCCTGAGGGCCCGGGCCGCTGCCAGGCCGGGTTCAGTCATCTCGCTGGGCAGTGGTTTATCTGTCCGCCGGGTGCTTGGGGGAGGCTTCTGGCCTGGGGGAACCGCCCCACTCGGGGCTTGTGACTTCGTGGGGCACGGGGTCCCTGCGGGTGCTGGGCCAAGTCCCTGTTTGGTTCAGGTTGCTCTGTCCCACTGCAGCCTCCATGGGCCGTGGTTTTCTTAATCTGTGTCCTCGAGGCCTGGTGGGGAGCCCCAGGCCTGGCTACCGCCCACGAGTCCACGGTGTGGGAACCACAGCCACGCTGGTTTTACCCAGGCACTCAGCAAACCTTCTCTGGACCAGAGGAGCACAGCTGGGGCCGTGTGTGCAGCCTCCCCTCAAGGTTGGGGCTCAGGGCCGCCTGGCCTCCGAGGCTGCCCCCTGGCAGCCTTGCAAAGCCAGCTGCTGCGTGGGTCAGCGATTCCTCTCCCGATGACCGCGGAGGCGATGCTGGGAGCAGGCTGGTGGCTGCAGTAGCTGTGCACCCTGCTCCGCCCCAGCCCCCCGCAGTCCTGCTGTCTTGCCCGCTGGGGCCTTACCTGTAATTAGCACTCCTTGGCCGGCCTGGGGAGAGGGCAGCCAGCCATCTCTGTGCTGGAGAAGGGAGACCAGGGAGGGAGGAGCCCGGGGACAGGGCTGGCCAGGCCACCTTGAGAATGGGTTGTTTTTATTTAAAAGATTTTTTTTAAAAAATTGTATATATTTGGCCGGCGCCGTAGCTCACTAGGCTAATCCTCCGCCTTGCGGCACCGGCACACCGCGTTCTAGTCCTGGTCGGAGCCGCCGGATTCTGTCCCGGTTGCCCCTCTTCCAGGCCAGCTCTCTGCTGTGGCCCGGGAGTGCAGTGGAGGATGGCCCAAGTACTTGGGCCCTGCACCCACATGGGAGACCAGGAGAAGCACCTGGCTCCTGCCTTTGGATCAGTGCGGTGCACCGGCTGCAGCATGCTGGCCGCAGCAGCCATTGGAGGGTGAAACAATGGTAAAGGAAGACTTTTCTCTCTCTTTCTCTCACTGTCTACTCTGCCTGTCAAAAAAAAATGTATATATTTATTTGAGAAGTAGAAAGAGAAGTCTTCCATTTGCTGGTTCACTCCCTAAATGGCCACAGAGGCTGGAACTGGGCGGGTCAGGAGCCAGGAGCTTCTTCCAGGTCTCCCACATGGGTGCAGGGGCCCAATCTTCCACTACTTTCCCAGCCCATAGCAGAGAGCTGGATCAGAAGTGGAGCAGCTGGGACTAGAACCAGTGCCCACATGGAATGCCGGCACTGCAGCCAAGGACTTAGCCTACTATACCACAGCACTGGCCCCTATTTAAAACTACAAAGAAACCAAAAAGGGGACAGAATCCTGCCCCCAGGCACAGCCGTCATGGACTTGGAGCGATCTCTGCTGCTCCCATCTGGACGAGCAGCCTAGCTTCAGTACCCCCGGAGCCTCATCTGTGGAATGGGTGCAAGGACAGAGCCTGCCCAGGGGCTGTTGCGAGGTCAGCGTCACTGTGAAGTGGTCGGCACAGAAGTCCTCGGGCCACGCCCTGTCGCCGCTGTCTGTGCCAGAGACGCACCAGCGCTGGCTCTGCCTTAGCCAAGGCCTCCAGCCCGAGGGGAGCCAGGTTAAGTCCTGCTCCTTCCGACCCAGCTCTGCAGATGGCCCAAGGGCTTGGGCCCCTGCCACCCAAGTGGGAGACGTGCGAGACGTGCATGGGGTTCCTGGCTGCTGGCTTTGGCTTGGCCCCGCCCTGACCATTGTGGTCATTTGGGGCGTAAACCAGTGGATAGAAGCTCACAACAGTTGGGGCTGGGCTGGGCTGAAGCCAGGAGCCAGGAATGCATGGGTGACAGGGACCCAAGTACTTGAACAAGCCCCTGCTGTCTCCCATGGCACACATTAGCAGGAGCTGGGGCTCAAATCCAGGTGCCCCAAAATAGGATGCAGACATGCAAAGTGGTGTTGAGTTGCCCTGCCCAACACCTGCGCCCCAGAGCTTTTGACAAGCCACACATACCACAGATATCCCTAAAGTTCACGAAGATGTGTGTGGTGGAAAAGCTGCTGGATTCGCAAACACTGTCACACCGAAATTATCTTTTTCAGTTGCATTCTCCAGAAACTTGTCTGGAGACCCCATCCGGGCCTGTGTTTCTGTGCACTCGGCCTTGAGCTGGCGCCGTGCACGCGCGGGGGCTGCTGGCAGCAGGTGTGCGCTGGCACCGTGCACACGTGGGGGCCACCTGGCAGCAGGTGTCTCTGCCTCCGTGGACGTGCGGGTCTCCAGGCTCGTCCGTGGCGGCACGGGTGTGCAGTGTTCATGGCTGCGTGGTAACCAGCACCAGGGCCTCCCAAATCTGTGTGGCTGGCCTCTTAGTGACAGCCACTGCCACAGCGTGCTGCCGGCCCGGGCTCCTGCTGGGTCCCAGAGTGGGACAGGAAGTGGGCGGGGCCCCAGGTAACATCCCCAGAGCAGGAAGGATGCAGGGGGAGCCTGGCACGGCCAACACTGCTGCAAGAGGCCCCGGGGCTCAGCCCTGCCTCCCCAGAGACTCACAGAGATGAGGTGGGCCCTGCAGGCCACCCGTTCTTCCTCATTCTTTCCTGGGGGCGTGCAAGCTTCGATTGGATTCGCCTAGCAGAGTTGCTATAACCCCCTGGGGGGCTGGCGGTGACATGGGGAGGGGGCAGGGGGAACTGCCCCGTGTGACCTGTGGGGGTCCTGGTGAACCTCCCTGCCCCGACAGTGGCAGTGGGTGGGGTGGGGGGGGGCGCAGGGGCATCTCCTGGCAGGAGCTGGGCGAGGCCTGGGAGCTCACTCCGGCATGTGTTCTGTCTCCAGGAGCCCGATCAAGTGTACGAGGGGATCACCTTCGAGGACTTCCTGAAGGTGGGTGTCTGGGAGGCCTGGGGGGCCTGGGGGTCAGGGAGATGGGGCCTTCCACCCACGGGGTGAGGGACGACGTTCCCAGTGCCCAGCGTCTCTGCAGGAAGGGCTCTGGCTTGGGGCATGACCATGTCTTGGGAGCCAGGACAGAGGACAGGGGCAGGAGGGGGTCCCAGGCCAGGAGCTGCCCTGCTCCTGCATCCCCTGGGACTGACCTCTGACCAGCAGCAGAAGCCCCCTGTGTCCTGGCAGCTCAGAAAGGGCGGGTGCCCCCACCCCCAGCAGGCAGCACACATAAGGATGGCAGGGCCTGTGCTGCAGGGTCTCCCCGGCTTGTGCCTGCTCCTGGCACGGAGAAGACCGTGGGCTGAGCAGCTGGGAGAGGAGGCTGGGGTGTGGCAGGTGGTCCTGGGTAAGCCTCTGAAGCCGGCCTCTGGCCAAGGCCCTACGTCACCCCTTGGCATGGAGCAGTCACCGCCCTGGCGTAGGGGCGTCTTCCCCTGGGCCTGTCCCACCCACAGCTCCACGGGAGCCTGCTGCCCTTCCCTCCGCATCCCTCACAGTGCCCAGAACGGAGGCTGGGCGGCGCCTGGGGACCGTGGGCAGTGCAACGGGTGCAAGAAAAGCCCCCGGGCAGCCCCGTGGGTGTCCCTGGAGGTGCCGAGTGACAGCTTGAGAACTGCGAGTCCTTACATAAGCAGGGACAGTGAGGCACCGCCCGCCTACCCGAGTTCCTGCGCCCTCCCTCTCCCCTCCCCATCTGTGCCAGGCTCCGGCGTGCCAGGGAGCTGGTGAGTTTGCAGTCGTGGGAATGACGGGCTCTGCGCCTGGAGGTGCACCAGGCTGTGGTGGACTTCACAGCAGCACCAGCGCCGGGGCTGGAGCCGGGGCCACGACCGCTGGTTCGAGTGGGCCTGTCTAGAACGCAGGACCATAGGGCTCTTCCGTGGCTCAACAGTCCCTGACAGTTCACAGGTGCTTCTGCCAGGAGCATGGTTCTGTCTGAGCCCCTCCCCATGCGGTGTTCTGGGGAGTGGGCAGTGCAGGTGGGGTGGCCCTGGCGTGCCCAGGGGCACAGGGCTGGGGTTCTGTAATTTGCACAAAACCCACAGAGCCCGTGGTGATGGGAGAAGATTCAGGTGACGGGCGCTGGGAGCACAGCTCGCTGTGGTGACCTCAGGATGCCGATGCCAGAGCCAGAGCCACGTCCCCAGACAGATGGGGCAGCTTTGCTCCTCACTTAGCTCAGAGCCTCTGGGTTTCACCTGCTGGCGGGGAGGGGGCCTGACCCTGGCCTATCTGTTGCAGATCTGGCAGGGCATCGACATTGAGACCAAAATGCACGTCCGCTTCCTCAACATGGAGACCATCGCCCTCTGTCACTGACGCGCTCGCCCCCACCCCGGGGAGCTGGGCCTTGGAGCTGGGCAGCCCCCACGTGGCCTGGGGCACCCCCTGGCTGCAGCTCCTGTAAACTGCGCTTTGCTGTTTTTATCTCTCCTCATAATAATAAAAGATTTGTTAATGAAGGCAGCTGGTCAGTTCCTCCCATCCTCAGGGTGCCCTGGGCACTTGGGGGCACAGGACTGAATGCAAGGGGACTTCGAGAAGGTGGTGGAAAAATGGCTTTTGGTGCAAAAATGAAATCTCTGCAGTTTTTTTTCCCTAATATACGTTTTCCACGAATTTCTCGAAGACCCCTCTTCGCATGGATTTTGCAGCTTCGTGCACCCAAGTGAACTTTTCATCTCATTTCTTGTGAAGCTGTAGAAGCTACAGCCGCTTGTGGCAAGCCGGCCGTGGCTGAGTGGTTCTAAGAGGCTGGTCAGGAGGAGAGGCGCCCCGTCTGCTGTGGGTGTTTTGGGGGCAGTTTTGCCGTTTCCCGCCTGTGTATGGGGGGCAGCAGGGTGAAGAAGAGCAGCCCCCGACTCCCCCCTGGGGCTTTCTGAGGGCCAGGACCAGAGCGAGGCACCCTCGGTGTGGTGATCAGCATGAGGACAGACGTAGAAGAGGCACGGAGCCCGGGTCCTGGGACTCGAGGCCCAGCCCCTGGCTCTGTCCATGGACCCTGCGGGCCACTCTACGCTTCCAAGAAAGTTCTCAGTAACCAGCAAGGCCCAGTGGGGTTTGCACGATGGGGTCTGTCACTTCTTGTTTCGGTATTAGTGCTTTATCTGCCTGACCCAGACCCTCACCTTGGGAGGTCACAATGGGAAAGGTTCAGAAAGGCAAGGCGGGCGGCGTGTGTAGCAGGTCAGCTGCCTCGTGCCGTGCCAGCATCCTGTATGGGCGCCAGTTAGAGTCCCAGCGGCTCCATTTTTTTTTTTTTAAAGAAAGAATTTTTATTTGAAAGTCAGTTACAGAGAAGGAGAGGCACAGAGAGAGGTCTTCCATCTGCTTGTTCCCTCCCCAACTGGCCGTAATGGGGAGCTGCACCGATCTGAAGCCAGGCGCCAGGAGCTTCTTTCGGGTCTCCTGTGCGGGTGCAGGGACCCAAGGACTTGGGCCATCCTTTACTGCTTTCCCAGGCCACAGCAGAGAGCTGGGTCAGAAGTGGAGCGACTGGGACCCAAACCAGCAGCTTTACTCGCTACACCATAGTGCTGGCCCCATAGCACTCTTACAATATGCATTTTCTCTGAATGTTCCAAAGGCCTCGTGTGTACATAATTTCAGCTTTTTTCTTTTGGCACCAAAGTAAGCATCTTTTCGGTCCACTTAAAAGAACTTTCTAGGTCCCCTCCTGTGTCCCTGCTCTGTTCCTTAAACTTGAACGTCAGCTCGTCACCTGAGCCTCAGCGCCAACCACTGCACTCACGGATATGCTGCCGAGCACAGGAACGCACCGTCAGGTACCGCCCCCGCCGTCACCTCGGCCCCTCGCTGGAGGGCCCTGGCATGAGGGAACCATGGAAGAGCCCATGGGCCACCACTGCCCCTGCCGGGGTCCCTACTGAGACCAGGCCAGGGTACGGATTCTGTGTCCCAGCGACCCTGGGGTCTGTGCAAGCAGAGCTCTGCTCTGAGCACAAGTCACTCTGGAGCACCTCAGGGTGCCTGCGACAGAGGGTGTCCCCAAGGCCCAGCCCAGCTCCACACGGGACAGTCACACGGAGCAGGGGACAGAAAACCAGGTGTCCCCAGCTTCACTGTCACCCACCTCCTGCAGCTTCACAAAGCAGATGTTCAGGCCTCAGCGGTTCCTATGAATGCAAAGCAGAGGGGTCCTGAGAAACGACCGCCGTCAGATCCACGTGGCTCCTTGGGAAGGACACCGGGGCCCAGGGCTCCCTCTGGACAGGGCGCTGGAGGGTGGGGCTGAGCACCCTGTGGCCTGCCTTTTTTTTTTTTTTTATTATTGAAGATGTATTTATTTGGAAGGCAGAGTTAGAGAGGTGTCTTCCATCTGCTGGTTCACTCCCCACATGGCCCCAACAGCTGGTGCAGGGCCAGTCTGGAGCCAGGAGCTTCTTCCAAGTGTCCCATGCGGGTGCAGGGGTCCAATCACTTGGGCTGTCTTCGAATGCTTTCCCAGGCCACAGTAGAGCTGGATTAGCAGTGCCACCTGCAGTGCTGGAATCCCATAAGGGCACTGGTTCAAGTGTCTGTTATTCCACTTCTGATCCAGATCTCTGCTATGTCCAGGAAAAGCAGAAGACTGGCCCCATCCTTGGGCCCCTGCACCTGCATGGGACACCTGAAAGAAGGTCCTGGCTTTGGATTGGCCAGCTCGGGTAGAGGGAAAAGTGGGGAGTTGCCCAACCCCTGCTTTTTTTCACGCACAGCCCCCGAGCAGGCTGGAGCTGGGATTCAGGGTGTCTTGTGGACGACCCACTGGCAGCAGCCTGGCCACTCCATGCACTCCCAAGGCTGGGACCCAGGCAGTTTGGTGGCAGACAAATGCCTGCTGGTTGTCACTTGCACCCTGGCCACTTCTGGAGGGTGGGCTCCCCTGGCGCCCCTGCCCACCCTGGCTGCCCAGGGCCCTCTTGGCTTCCTGGTTGTCAGCTCTGGGAGTCACTGGGTGGGGCTCCGTGTTGTCACTTAGCTCCTGCGCCTCCCCCTCCAAGGGGCCTGAGGGAGGCTGCAGCAGTGCCGAGCAGCAGGGGGTGCTGGCAGGGCCTCCGCAGGCCTGGCTTTTCTGGGACTCTGCTAACGTACTTGCAATTTGTTCTTTTCACCAAAGGCAGTTCATTAACATCCCTTTTTTTTTTTTTTTTTAATGTAATGAGTCCCCTCCTGCTAGCCCAGAGGCCTGGGTTGTTGCTGGGGAGAGGTGGCTCCAGTCTGCAGCCGTGGGCCGAGGCTCGTGTGCGTGTCTTACTACAGTGAGACTGGCCGTGGTGCGGTCCACACTGCTGGGAAGCAAGCGCGTTTGCCTGTGACCACTCGGTGTGCTCTCCCCGGCAGGGTGCACGCTCCGCTCTGCTGGTGCGGGGTAGGAGTCCGCATGGCTGGTGTCCGATGGGGGTGGGCTCCCAGAAGCGCCACGCTAACTCCCCGGCGCCTCCTGGGGCCACTGGCCTTGGATCAGCAAGAGCTGAGGGTTGCAGCCCTGGGCCTGGGTCTCTGGGCAGGTTGGTAACGTAGCCCGGATGATGGGGACACCTCACCTGGAACAGGCTGAGGGTGCGTCCTGACGTCCACTCTCAAGTAGGCACGTGATGAGTCAAACAAGCCCGCTCCGTCCTCCTGCTGGAAATTGCGCCCGGGACCACAAGTAAGTAGGCAGAGCCGGCCAGGGAGGCCCCTTCCCTGTCATTCCGAATTCTGTAGCCGTCTGCTGGGACGGGGGGAGGGCATGGGGGTGCTGGCTTTTGTTAGGAGTGGGCAATTTGGTCTGGGAGTTGACAAAAGGGCCGAGTAGTGGAACCAACCCGACCCGCGCAGCTTGGGGACCCTCCTGCAGCCACACTGAGCGTGCATCATGGATGAGGCCGTGCAGGGAAGGCGTGGCAGCTTCAGGAGCGCAGGCTGCCAGGCTTGGACAGTCCCCTTTTCCTTGCTGGCCCCAGGACTGGGCAGTCTCAGGCCGTGCTGAAGGGGGCAGGTCAGCTGTGACCCTGACCCTCGTCATGGAGCCTGCAGCTAACGAGGCAGAAACTGCCCCCGGCTGTGCTGGCGATGGCGCCGTGGCTACACAGGCTGAGGGAAGAGTTAAAAATACAAGTTGCCTCGGCGAGGGTTTCGCAAGCACCTGCCTTGAAGCTGTCCTCCCACACAGCAGTGACCTTGGGAAAGGCAAGGAGAGCGGAGTGGGCAGAGCCAGTGCCCGCAGGTGGCAGGTGAGCCCAGCCCCTGGTGAGGACGCAGTGGCCGCTCGGCCCTCTCATCTGTTGCCCGAGCGGGCGAGAGGTAAGGCTCCGGTCTGCAGTGTCCGTACCCCCAAGGGCAGCCTGCAGCTGCCAGCACGGGCGCTCCCTCCTGTCCTGGGCCAGGACAAGGTCCCCAGTGCGGAACGTCCAACGGCTGCTTCTGGAAGCCCACGTTCAACATCCGAGGCCAGAGCACACATGGCCGCTGCCAGAGCCCAGCACGCGGGAACCTGCCACCATGTATTAGAGGCAGGCCCGCTCCAAGTCGCCGCAGGCTTGCAGCCGTAGCCAGGTAACCATCTGGCCTGGCTGTGCAGTGCTGCGGGCAGGGCCGTGTGGCTCATGGCGCCGCAGGCCAGCACCATCAGCTCGCTGCCGCCACAGCTGCTGCTCAAAGCGAAGGCCCCGTGCAGGAGACGACAGCCTGGGTGAGCGGCCCTGCTTCAACAGCAGCCACTGTGCGGCTGTCTCGAGTGCTGCTTCTCCACAGCTCCGGCCTCTCATTAGCAGAGTGAGGAGCACTGGCCCCCTAAACCGGGGTTCCGGGTTTTCGGGTGGAATGGGGTGAAGAGCTCCCCCGAGGGGGTTGTCGGCTTGCCCTGTAGAAAGGACCAGAACTCCACTTGAGCAGAGATTCAGGTTGGCCTTCGATTAGCTGTCATCTGGGCAGTCAGCAAAGCTGAGACTGCTCCTTGGTGGGGAAGGTGATGCCACCCCTGGCGTCTCTGACCTGTGAGTTAGTGCCGGGGCGACAGAGGCACCTGACTTGCCCTGAAAACCAGTGTAGTGGCAGAGATGAGACTCCAGGTGGGGCGCTCTCCAGACTCAGGGGGATAACCACCCTTCTGCCCAGTTTCCCTCCCAAGGCTGGGACAGCCAGGGTGCAAACAGTGCGAGGCGTCAGGAAATCCCACAAGTTTAATTTCAGAACGAACGTGGAGAAGACACCAGAGGGGCGTGACGAGTCAGCCCGGAGGGGAGGTGGTTCTGGGAGAGCCGGAAGGCATTCGATGAAATCCACCTGGCACCGGCACCCTGGAAGGAGGCCTGTGTGGCAGAGGGAGGAGCCGGCTCAGGATGGTGGTCAAACTCTAGGGTCACCGTGTCAGGGAAGGCAGCCCTGTAGGAGGCACAAGGTCCCAGAGGTCCTGCCGTACCCAGACTGAGCAGGAGAGGCACGCACGCATCCACTCCCTGACCCCGTGTGCCTGCAAAGCTGGAGTTGAGGGACTGAAGACCCCTCCTCCCTCTCTGGAGCTTTCTAAGGGTTCTTGGCTAACGGGGCCCCATCTAACTTATTTTCAAAGCCAAGCTCAGCCACCGTGCGCTCACTGCCCCCCGGGGCTAGGAATTCCTGTCCTCCAGGCTTGCCGCTCCGCTTTCAGTCCAGGTGCGTGTGTTGTTTTGCAATCTGTGGATGTCTAATATAGCATGGGGGGGGGCGGTGAATGGGGCCTGGGCGGGGTCACGCTCTGCACTAGCTGCGGCCGGTGCTGGTGTGTGCAACAACTGATGCACATGCAGCAGCCCAATCTCCCTCTGTCGGCAAGCCTGCAGGACTGACACTGTCCTGCTCTGTTAGGGTGGGAGAGGGAGGGCTCCTTAGCCCCTGTGCCACCTGCTCTCCACAAATGTACAGGTAAATCGCAGAACTGCGCAGAGGGAACAGGGGAGGTGGCTGCTGGTGCCTCCCAGCCGAGAAGGAAAATGAGCTAGGGGGTGGCACTCCTGAGCCAGGCTGGGGTGCAAATCAGAGGAACAAGAAGACAAACGAGCCTGGGCAGGCCCAGTGCTGCCTGGGTGGCGCAGGGGCCCGAGCCCTCCCCCAAACCATCAACGGGACGGTCCCACCTGGAGCAGGGCGCTCTGGGCCTGCCCTAGGCAGTGCTGTCCGAGAAGGCCAGTGCGAGGTTGTAGTTGTGACTGCTCATGGCACCACAGGCCAGGCGGCAGATGGGGAGAGTACTCTGAAACGCCAGTTGGTCCACCGCAAATGCGTAGGCGTGGATCAGCCCCCGGTGTCTGGAGAGAGCACAAGACGACAACAGGTCAGGGCCACACTCCCCCCTCCCCTCACCCTCGTGGCTTGTCTGTGCAGGAGTCACCAGGGCCAGACACCGCACGCACAGAGGGTCAGCCTTGGAGACAGCCACAGGAAGGGGTGTCAAGTAATAAAGAGCCCCCTCTACTGGGTACAGTCACGCCACTGTCTCTATACAGGGGGACTTTTTCAGCTCATGGGAAAGTGGAATTAAAGCTTGGTGCCAAATTGTTGAAATTAATGCATTTTTTTGGTAATACACATTTTGAAGACTCCCTGCTTCATTTCTATGGAAAGAACGACCCTGCCGAAGACGCAGCTGTACAGTGTTCCTGACCGTGTACAGGCGGGGCCCGGCCCAGCCCAGCTCACCTCCTGTGCGTGGCGGAGTTGTCCAGGTCAGCGTTGCGCACCACCCGCTCGCAGGGCACGTTGGCTGTGATGAGGCTGTGGCTATTAAAGGAGATGTGCCGCACAGGGTGCCTGCATGGGGAGACATCACAGCTGAGGGGGGACACAGGGCCCTGCCCCCCTGAGCAAGGCCACATTCTGGGCGTGCATCCCCCTCACAACCTAGTGTTTCAGATCTAAATTGGCACCTGCGCAGGGGGCCACAGCAGCACAACTAGAAAGCCTGGGAAAGAATCGTCTTCCGTCCTGCTTGGAGGACTCTGTTCCTCCTGAAAACTTGAGCAGACACCGTGCCACACGCAGGGGCACGCCTGCCCTCAGCGCCCTTCCTGACTGTTCCAGAAGGTCAGGGGTGCCCCACTGCTGAGGGGGCGCAGCCCTGGGAGGACAAGGCAGCACAGCCACTGAAGGGTCCCCGGAGCACTGTAGGCGTGGGGGCAGCCTCCGGCTCCAACTCCGGATGGGCCCTGTGCACGGCTAGGGACAAGCTACTGGCAGTGAAGGCGCAAGACCATCCCCCTGGGGAGGGCCCCGCAGCCTGGGGCTTCACCTGGATGGTCCAACTGAGCTCTGACGGGGACTTACGAGGGTGCAGATGAGGCTGGAATTAGTGTGGGGGTTTACTTGCCTTTGGCACCACCTGGTGGCAACTCAGTGCATCATTAAGGAAATCAGAAAAAGGGCCTAGGAAGCCGTTTGCAGAGTAAGGTGGAGCTGGGTGGGGTGGATGCCACGCAGGGCTTGGAGCAGGGCAAAGCTGCTGAGGCTCCCAGGCGGAGCCCTCGCTGGCCTTGCTGATCCTCTCCTTCAGGACGACACTCACGGCCCCTGGCACCACCAAGACTACCTTGGAGGTGCTGCTGGGGACAAGACCTGTCCCACAGACACTGGCATCAAAGGCTGAGAGGACAAGTCCTCCTGCAGTGAGGCCCTGCTCACCAGGGGGCGGTGTGGGCCTGGGCGCACAGTCTCAGCTTCCTGCGCTTGTGTTACTCTTCTCGAGACAGCCCTCTGGCTGGGCATGGACCAGGCCGTTTCAGTGCGGAGTGGAGTTGGGGCACGGGGCACTCAGCACAGTGTCCGGCCCGGGCTGACCAGTGCCCCTCCTACAGCCACAGAGGAACTACCTTACCTAGAATGCACCTCCCAGAGCTTCTGGTTCATGCGGTAATCCCACACAGAGACCAGGCCTTCCTCGCCGCCGCTGACAATCTTCCAGTCATCCATCTGCACTGCAGAGACCCCAAGCTGGTGGGCGGAGAGCGACAGCGCAATTTTATCAGTGCGGAGGTCATGGATCCTCACCCTGGAAGGCCACAGAACAACAACAGGACCGAAGTTAAAGGCTGCGCTCCCAAACTCCTGTGCGTGCTAGTTGCTGTGTGCACACTTCTGGAGGCATCTGCTACTCGGTGAGCTATCCCAGCACTCCATCACTTACACACAGCTTGGGGACATTGGGGCCCTGCTGCCTGCCTGCATCTGCTCAGTGCAGGTCCCTTTAGAAGGGGGTAGAGGCCTTGATGCTGACTTTGTGAAACTAGGAAACCTACTTTCTTGTGACTTACGTGTTTGTTTCTTTGGTGATTATAATCTAGTTAGGTTTTCTGAATTAATTTTTTAAAGCTTCAAATCTGGAAACTTTTACCAAAGTTAATCCCTGGGAGAAAAAATCCAAATTGCTTTCCCAGTTTGCTCTTCATCTATACAGGTGCAAAAAGTGATGAAACCCACAGGGAGTGGCTACTCCGGAGCCCCAGAACTGCTCCCCAGCCTGGGAAAGAAGGACCGCTCCCAGACTCTTTCGATGAAGCAGGCATCCTAGGCCCCAACACCTGACAGTGCAGGCGGCATAAAAGCAAACACAGATGCGAATCAAACATCAGCTAAGTGAACCTGCAGCCATGCTGCTGGCAAGCAGAAGCCGAGACACTGGAAAGAAACCTGATGACACAGAAAACCATTCCTAATGACAGTTCTGTTACACAAAGTACTGATGCATGGTTACTGTACGACTGTACACTGTTTTAAAATTAGACTCAAGATCCAGATATTGCACTGTGGGCTGATTTATCATCAATTGCTACTCCACAAGAATCCAGTAAGTCAGAATCAACTATAAATTTATACACCAAAATAGCTGTCTCATGTACATGCAACCACTACTTTAAAAAATGAAAAAAATCCCACCTACAATAGCAATTAAAGGCAAAATATAATTTTCTCAACCTACCACATCTTACACGGAAATAATTCCTAACTGTATATGAAGATACTTTTTCCATGGGGGGAACAAGCACAAGTCAAACAATAAACTGAGAACGACGTGCAGAGATAGCCCTGAGGCCGGGAGCTACAGAAGAGGGGGCTTCTGATTCAGACCATGGTCGACCTTCACTGCGAATCCCTTAAACACTGCAATGACAGACACCGGCACCCTTTACATGCATTGCGGACAGCTCAGGCTGCATCCTCAGCGCCTGGGGGGGTGGTGGTGTCAGGAGCTGGGATGAGGACGACTGGGGTTCAGGTCTAAACAGGATGCAAGGACGGTCTCTCAGACGGGGGCCCAGCTGATGGGGGAGGAGGTATCGAAAAAACTGCCAAGTGAAGCTTCATTTCCCTGAAATGGAACTCAGGACGGAGTTACCGCCTCACATTTTTCACATGTAAAGGAAGCGGCTCAGGCAGTTCCACACGACCTTCTAGAAGCCGAGTGTGCAGCAATGAAGCCGTATCCAAGGAGCTACAACTTGTTGCACACGCAGGCTCAATCAAAAATACTCACCCAATGGAAGGATGAAAACGAGAAACTACCAAGGGGACTTAAGAGCAGCTTGAGGGGAAAGAGAGCACCTGTGAAGGACACTAGCATTAGACAGAGATCAACATTTACACTGTCGTGACCTGGAACGATGGGACAGTTATCTAGGTCACCGACTGAGCACCAGGGAATTATGGGACATCCATGTAGAACAGGGTGCCTGTGAACAGTGCTGTCCCACGGGGCGCACCACCCGCTGACGGACACCATGGTCACAACTGAGGTGGCAGCTCAGGAAGAGAGGAGCGCGGAGGATGCACCCCCACCCCGCCCTGCCCCGCCACTGTGTGCTTCTGAGTTGCGCGCTACCTGCTTAACATCCAAACTGCTGCAGAAGAAATTTGAGGACTAAGTCCAGACGTTAAGAGCGGTCACCCTGGAAGGAGGAGGGCAGCAAAGGAGGCTTCTACTTCCCATCCAGGACTCACCTGGTGCGTGGAGGGGTGGGGTGCTCTGTGCTGTCCGAGGTTGTCCAGGCACCTCAAAGGTATGCTTTACTTCACAAACTCAGGATCATCGGTTTCTGAGTTTACTAAAACAACACGGAAACGGAGCTGGCCTCTGCACTAAGTCCTGGCTGGGCCGCGGCAACGCCTCAGTGCTCTGGGTGCATCGATCCTCTCCGGGGAGGGGCTGGGGCTGGAAGGGCCCAGACAGCAGCGTGCAGCAGCCGGGGAGAACAAAGCTCTCCCTGCTGGCACTACAGGACCCTGCACGAGAGGCATGCAGGCTGCAGAAGGAGCTCAGCCTCGAGGCTGTGGCGGGAACCATTTGAGCCCAAGCCCTTCTCAGTGCATATTTGGTTAATAAGGGTCTACTCTGCCATGGTGATTTCCATAAAGCACTCCTCTGTTGAATATTTATACTCCACAATTTACAGTTTGGCTGTCAAGGAGACAAAGGAAAACACAAATTTGGTCCAGAAGTTCAAAGTTTGCCATCTGTTTTCCTATTGTATTTAGATACCAGCATGGATGGCTCCAAACAAAATAAACAAATACACCAAAAATACAGCACCAGTGTACGTTCTATGGCGAACAGAAATGGGCCCAAACAGACTTGAGCTGCTTCCCCCAAGGAAAAACGAAGAGCATTTCCCTAGCATCTCCTGACAGGCATCCCCCAGCACAGGGCGCTAAGTCCACACGTGCCATGCAGGTACTGACAGCATTACGCACCAACTTGAGGCAGTGCACCTTGGCAAACCCTGCCCCCACAGCATTCAAATCACACACTCGGCACTGGGAAACAGGTAGCACGGCAAATGGGCACAAAAGTATGCCAAGACACTGATTCCAGGGATAAAAAAACCGCCAATGGTGGATACTGTGCCTCTCTCACTAGCGAGTATTCCATCAACTTTGCCCGCTGAATAGAAAAATAATTGGTCCGAAAGCTGTAATTGTATTATGTTTAATATTCATGGTTGGGCTTGGAGAACGGTTCCAACACTCCCTCTCTCCAGCCCCTCTCTAATGAAAATCACACCATAGGAGTCGGCTGTAGCCCGCCAATTAAAACAAAAGACACCAGAACCTTCCAAAGACTCCAGCAGAGGGGCATCCATCTGATGGGCAGGAAAACGTGCTGGAGCCGAGAGGGAGGCACGCTCTGGTTGGTCCGGTGCTAAGCGCTCTAAATGACTGATTACAACACTTGCAGATGGAGCAAAGGCGGCACTCGCGCCCCACTCGCTCTAACAGCAGGCAGCGATCCACAGGCACACGGCAACTTCCTATTTGTCAGGGCTAGAAGTAGGCCCGGAGACTCTCTAATTGGGATTCACAACTCGGCTACTTCCCATTGGTTTGGATGAGAGTGCCCCACAGGATGATAAGGCAAACTGGATCTGAAAGCGAAGCTGAAGCCTGTTCAGACACTGGCCTCGCAGCTTAAGAAGGACCTGACCTCGTGTGCCCACCCAGAAAAGAAAGGGAACAAGCAATCAGGCATTAAAATATTGACCAAACTAATCAAGAAAACTAGCATTTAAAAAATATCAATGCCTGATTATACTGGGTTTCAGTGAACCTGGGGTATTAAAAGGAATTTTTTTTTTTTTTTTTTTTGACAGGCAGAGTGGACAGTGAGAGAGAGACAGAGAGAGAAAGGTCTTCCTTTTGCCGCTGGTTCACCCTCCAATGGCCGCCGCTGCAGCCGGCGCACCGCGCTGATCCTGGCAGGAGCCAGGAGCCAGGTGCTTTTCCTGGTCTCCCATGGGGTGCAGGGCCCAAGCACCTGGGCCATCCTCCACTGCACTCCCTGGCCATAGCAGAGAGCTGGCCTGGAAGAGGGGCAACCGTTAAAAGGAATTTTAAATGTAACTTTATATACCCAAATCAATAGCTTTATCTACATGCACTGATGAATGTTGTCAGCAGTGACTACAGGCTGGTGGTGTGGCACAGTGGGTTAGCTGCCTGCCTCCTGCGATTCCAGCATTCCGTACAAGTGCTGGGTCGAGTCCCAGCTGCTCCACTTACAATCCAGCTCCCTACTAATGTGTCTGGGAAAGCAGCGGAAGATGGCCCAAGTCTTTGGGCCCCTGCACCCATGTGGGAGACCTGGATGGAGTTCCTGGCTCCTGGCTGTTGCAGGCATTTGGGGCGTGAACCAGTGGAAAGAAGATCAATCAATCTCAATCTCTTTCTCCTCCTTTCGAATGAACCTTTAAAGAAAACGACTAGAAAAATGTGTTTTCAGGTAGAATCGCCCAGTTTAATCCAGCTCAGCAAGTTTAGCACTCTGCATTTGAAACACCACATGCCTACAGTGTAGCATCCTTTCTGTACAGAGCACAGAATCAATGGGGCCAGTCCCCTAGACCTTCCGGCCTTCAGTCTCCTTAGCTGGGCCAGCACTACTTGATCCTGCAGAGCTCTGCAAAACCCACAATTCTGTGATCTGTGCTAGCCAGCCCATGGTACTAACTGGGGACAATGACGATCACGTACGTAATGCCAACAAATAACTCACATGACCCCAAGCTGGAAATACTGGCACTCTTGACATTTAAACCATTCAAATATTTCATATAATCATACTACACAAAGCAATGTTTTTACTTTCATGTACAATGATACAGTTCAACTTGCCTGATGTTTGAAGCTTACTGTATGTTACTGAGTAAAAGGGGTGAGAAATCTTAATCAAAAAGCTGTAAGTACTGAAGACAACATGGTACTGGCAAAACTTAGATATACAGATTGATGGACTAGAACTGAGAGAACAAGTCCTCAGACTTATGGTCACGTGACTTTCAACTATGGTGTCAAGACAACTCAATGGGAAAAGGTCTTTCCAACAGATGGTGCTGGGACAATGGACATCCATGTGCAAAAAAATAAAGGTGGACCCCTACCGATGTGACATATGAAAACAAACTCCTAATGCATCACAGACTTCAGTGTAGAAGCCCAAATTATACAACTCACTGTGGTCCTGGGTTAGAAAATGGCTTCTTGGGGTCACGTGCTGCTGCTGCCTGCAGTGCCAGCATCGCATATGGGCTGCTCCACCTCCGATCCAGCTCTCTGCTATGGCCTGGGAAAGCAGGGGAGGATGGCCCAAGTCCGTGGGCTCCTGCACCGGCATGGGAGACCCAGAAGCAGCTCCTGGTTCCTAGCTTTGGATTGGCGCAGCTCCTGCCATTGCAGCCAATGGGGAGTGAACCAGCAGATGGAAGACTTCCCTTTCTCTGCCTCTCCTTCTGTGTGTAACTCTGACTTTCAAATAAATAAATATTAAAAAGAAAAGAAAATGGCTTCTTAGGGCCAGTTGTGGTGCAGTAGGTTAAGCCTCTGTCTGCAGCACTGGCATCCCATATGAGAACAAGTTTAAGACCAGCTGCTCCACTTCCAATCCAACTCCCTGCTAATGGCTTGGGAGAGCAATAGAAGATGGCGCAAGAGCTTGGGTCCCTGCATGGGAGACTGGAAGATGCTTCTGGCTCCTGGCTTCAGATTGTCCCAGCTCTGGTCATTGCAGGCATTTGGGAAGTGAACCAGCAGATGAAAGACCCCTCTTTTGGTCTCTAATTCCGCCTCTCAAATAAAGAATTCTGGGCCAGTGCCGCAGCTCAATAGGCTAATCCTCCACCTGTGGCGCCGGCACACCGGGTTCTAGTCCTGGTTGGGGAGCCGGATTCTGTCCCAGTTGCTCCTCTTCCAGGCCAGCTCTCTGCTGTGGCCCGGGAGTGCAGTGGAGGATGGCCCAAGTGCTTGGGCCCTGCACCCCATGGGAGACCAGGAGGAAGCGCCTGGCTCCTGGCTTCATATTGGTGCAGCGCGCTGGCCATAGCGGCCACTTGGGGGGTGAACCAACGGAAAAAAGAAGACCTTTTTCTCTGTCTCTAACTCTGCCTGTCAAAAAAAAAAATTTTTTTTTTAAATAACTCTGCCTCTCAAATTAGTCATTTTTTTTTTTCAGGTTTAAAGATTTATTTATTCATTTGAAAGAGTTACACAGGAAGAGAAGGAGAGGCAGAGAGAGAGAGAGGTCTTCCATCCGCTGGTTCACTCCTCAGTTGGCCGTCAGCTGGAGCTGCACTGATCCGAAGCCAGAAGCCAGGAGCTTCTTCTGGGTCTCCCACACAGGTACAGGGCCCCAAGGACTTGGGCCATCTTCTACTGCTTTCCCAGGCCATAGCAGAGAGCTGGATCCGAAGTGGAGCAGCCGGGACTCGAACCAGTGTCCATATGGGATGCTGACACTGCAGGTGGAGGCTTTACCTGCTATGCTATGCCAAAGCACCAGCCTCTCAAATCAATCTTTAAAAATGGCATCTTAGGTATGATACTAATAACATAGTAGGTGAGTTGAACTTTCATCAAAATTTAAAATTTTTGTACTTCAAAGAACATTAAGAAAGTTGTGGGGGAAGGAGGGTTGTGGCGGCAGTGGTACTATGGTGAAGCAGGTGAAGCTGCCGCCTGTGACGTTGGTATCTCACATAGACACCGGTTTGAGTCTCAGCTGCTCCACTTCCAATCCAGATCCCTCATAATATGCCTGGGAAAGCAGTGGAAGATGGCCCAAATCCTTGGGCTCCTACCATACACATGGGAGACCTGGGAGAAGCTACTGGCTTTGGAACAGCCCAACTCTGGCTGTTGTGGCCATTTTGGGGAGTGAATCAGCAGACAGAAGATCTGTCTCTCCTTTTCTCTCTCTTTATAAATTCTGCCTTTCAAATAAAAAAAGAGAAAAAAAAGTGGAGGGGCTGGCCTGAGGCACAGTGGGTTAAGCTGCTGCCTGCGATCCAGCATCCCATATGGTGCCAGTTCAAGTCCTAGCTGCTTCACTTCTGAGCTGGCTCCCTGGTAATGACCTGGGAAAAGCAGCAGAGGATGGCCCAAATGCCTGGGCCCCTACCACTCACATGGGAGACCCAGAAGCAGCTCTTGGCTTCAGCCTGGACTAGCTCTGGCCAATGTGGCCATCTGGGGGGAGGAAGGGGTGAATCAGCGGATGGAAGATCTCTCTCTCTCTCCATCTCTTCTTTGCTGTCTCTCCCCTTCTCTTTCTGTAACTCTTTAAAATAAATAAATAAATCCTTTAAAAAAAAGTGGAAAGGAACCCACAGAATGGGAGAAAATATTTGCAAATCTTATCTGATAAAGAGACTTGTAGCTGGAAAATAAATAAACTAATATATAAATATAAACTAACAACTCAACAGTGAAGACACCCCAATTGAAAATGAGCTGAGGATTTGGACATCTTCCAAAGAAGATGAACAGCTGGGCAACAGACTCTGGAGAAGATGCTAAACACCATTAGCTATCGGAGAAATGCAAAGCAAAATCTCGATGAGATACCACTTCACATTAGGATGAGCACACTCAGGGACTACAGTAAGTGGTGGTGAGGACGTGCAGAAACTGAAATACTCACACATACATTATGCTGGGAGGACTGAAAAACTGCAGCCACTTTGGAAGACTGGTAATTCCTAACAAAAACTTACCACATAAGCCAGCAATTCTACTCTCAAGTATATATACCCAAGAGA